GTTGGTTACGGTGTGGTTTTTCAAGCCCTTGACGTCATGGTACGGTTTCTTGTGAGTGATGACCGGTTTGTTAGTGTCCTGGGATGGCAAGGAATGTTCGTTGGCGTTGCTGGGACACTCGGTGGATTGATATCAGGTTGGTTCGTTTAACATATGTTTTTAATACAGAGGAGCAGTGCGGTGCACCATTTTGGTTTACATCGATAACTTGTACTTAATTTTTTGTTTGCAGAAGCTCAGGGGGAAAAAACTATAAAAAGTCCCGTGTCAGTTTGACCTGGTAGCCGAGTTATTGAACGTGTAAATTTTACCAGCCCAGCGCTGCGTGTCTTTATGCACCCAGGGTCGACTTCGTTGTTTAGCGTTGTGTTAATTTTTCTTCTTGCCAACAGGTTTTTTTTCTGACGGGGGGTAGGGTGTACAGATTTCTTTCATTGAAACTAAAGTACAAATAAATGTCTTTTTTTTTTCACAGGATGGATTTACGAGTGGACGGGAGGTTTCAGTATAGTTCTCTGCGTGTTTGCTGGAGTGACGTTGCTTTCTATTCCCTTCTTCGTTACCGAAGCTCTATACGCCAAGCGAAAGGCACTCTAACATGGATCATATTCTAAAATTTGTGGATCCTATAATTTTCGTTTCCCTTGTCCCTGTTGCATCAGACATGTACGATTTTGTTAATGCTGGATGAACCCCTTAAACCCTTTACCCTAAAAGTGTTTGTCAAGCTAACTACATAACCAACAGTTGAGAATAGTTTGAGCTCATGTTTATAATGATACTGAAAGGTTAAAAAGTTCCGAGTTATCAGGAACAGGAACAATGTAACACATTGGACCCGAAATTTATAACATGATCATGCGTTTGTGTGACAGTTAAGGTGCATGCATGGACATCCGATTATACAGCATATTGCGCTCTATGCAGCCGAACGACATCAATGGTAGAGGGCGCTATCGATGAGACGAATCCGTTTCGTCCATAGTGCCATCTACTGTTGATGTCGTTCGGCTGCATAGCGCACTATAGGCGACCTATGAGCTCCGTGCGCTACCAAAAGAGGGCGCCCTTTTACCTAACAACGACGTCCCATGGGCGGGACATTTCGCCGGTTGACGCGCACCGTTCCTTGGGTGTGACGCACGTACACCAGGGGGGTTTGTACTATTTACACGCAGTGGCCGCGCTTCGCGGCAAATGAATTGCAGTCAGCCAAGATGGCATCGGTCGATCACCCCCAACTGTACTTCCTTTGCCGGTGAGGGGGTGTTTGTGAACAGAGCGGATATGTAAACGAACATTATATCAATCCAGTCTTGGACCAAAACTAATTCAACCTAAGCTACAGTCTTCGAGTGAATAACTACAATGGTTCGATTTTAAAACTTCAATTTTTACGAACTTCAAAACACTGGAGGGGCCATCAATCGCAACTGTAAAAAAAAAAAGTTTTTTTTCTTGTCATAAAACCCCGAAGTCAATTTAACACTTTCGCCATTGTAACTTGAATGAAAATCCTAGGGTTAACTTTCTCAACAGCAGTTGTCAAAGCTTCCCTAAATCAAAGGATAAAAAATATCAGACATCGATAAACATAACAATAATTAAAAGTTTAAACCACGATCAGTTTGTCGTAATAAGCTTAGTAAAAACAAGAAAATTTACATAGGAATTATAATTTGCATACAGTGTTGTTAGACGAATTTCACGCAAACGGTGCACACTACTGTAAATGGGCAATTCCTTGGTTTTGTAACTAATTTTATTTAATTTCCAATGTAAAAAAAATACATATTCTTCGCGTTTTTTTAATTTGAAGAACACATTTAGACTTATAAAATGAACTTGTTTTAAAAAAAATTAATAATTTGAGTGACCAGTTAATAATCTTAGTGTGCAACATTTTAGACAGCACAAAAAGGAAAATAATGTACCCGATACGGATTCCTCGTTATTATTCACCATGGATGATCTCTGCCAGACAACTAGACTCTTGGTATTGGTAAGTCTAAGAAAAAATTCTATATAATAAAACGGCAGGAAAGTCTTCCAATTGAAGCGTAGTTAAATTTTAATTAATGGACTTTTTCGCGTTAAAAAATTGTTTTACTCGTAATACCTCTTCGGTACAATTTGGCGTCTTACCTCAACAAAGAGTTCATTAAGATTAAGTTCACCTTAAGCATATAGCTTGCTGAGCAAAATACCACGTGTCTTTTTGAGACTGTTTCAATCAATCAATTAATCAATGAATCTTACTCTATTTACCACATCACAATACAGAACGATATGCCAAGAAAATCATAAGATCACAATAATGTGGATGGGGGTCTCTAAAAAGCAAGGCTTGTTGAGTAGTGACCCCACATAAGTAATCAATTAAATTAATTAGTTTATTTAATGTGAGTTACAACAATTACATTACACACATACACAAACCACATACGGATACACCAGACAATTTGCTACAAGGGGACATGAACATGACGAGTAACATGACGAGTAAACCCGTTATACATTATTAATTTAAAAGTAATTATAAGTAAGTATTTAGCAAGTGAGCCTTATATTTATGTTTAAATAATGATTGACTGCAAATACTTTTAATGACGTATCCAGCGAATGCCATAATTTGGAAACCTCATGCTTTACTGTCATTGTAGCAAGTTTAGTGGAAAAAAACGGTGGAATTCAGTACATTGCCTTGTAAAATAGTGATGAATATTTTCATTTCGAGACTCATTGCAAAACAAAATTGTGACTTGGCATTTCTTTGGGAGGAAAGCGTATGAAAATATGTGCTCTGGGAACCCGGACCCAGGGGCATTTTATTTTTTGAGTAAATGAAATTGAAATTCTATAATGTTGCTTTGCATTCTCAGTGAACGTTCATGCAACGATTAAACACAAATATTCCATCGGATTTCCATATTTTTTTTTCTGAGTATTTTCTGTAAGCAAGTAATAGTTGAAAGCAAAATGTAAATGAATAGGTCAATAAAAGATTTGTTTATCACATTCCAAAAACACTTCAATCTTCTAAATACTGGATCTCAAAAATTCCGATACATTGAAATCATCTTTAAAAACAATGTCATGAATATCACTCATTGAAGTAGCCTGTAATTAACACTAATCAAACGATATACAGGATTTTATAATTTAGTCAAAAGTCTGTCAGGTATCACATTTGAGTAAATATTGAGCAAGGAATGTTGTGTAATGATGTGATATCCAAAAACTAACTACTTCTAAACTACTGCGCGGTAACACTATGTACTTTGTACTTAATCTAATATTATACTACATTGTAACATACACATATCAAAGTTCACGAATCCAATATTATACTGATAGTCGCCTTCACAACAAAAGTCTACGTGAAATCCATGACTGACAATTACTATCCTCATCTGAACGGTTGAAATAAAATTCTCTCTGCAAAAGAGTTTTGGTATTATTAACATACTTGAGATCATGTACATTTCTTAGTTATAACACAAACTTGTCGGCAACAATACCGTTAGAGCAAACTGTTTAGAAGTGAATATTAATGCAATACATGAAGTGTTTGAACAAGTGTGAAGAATACATCATTTTACACAAATCACTACAATCCCTTTAGTTGCACAATATGAACAAAATACTTTTAACCCTCCAATTGCAATGCAATATAATGTAACTGAAATTTGCAAAAAGTAGCTGTTAATTGAGCTGCGAAAATACTTTTATATCTAGTAAAATGTATCGACACTCTATTCTTTTTTTTTATTAAGAAAAAAAAAGAAATATATGTATAAATGAATGTGTTGTGGGGTTTGCAATTAAAACTGTTGCAATTATTTCTAATTCTAAGGTTCAAAATCTTCTGAGCCATGTATTGTAGATTCTCACTTAATTATGATCATGCTCTGACATTTTTAAACTATGAATTCATGAGGCCAACTGGTCCATAACACTATTAAAAGAAGCAGACTAAAGGCTTACAGTATTTCTGCTAACTTACATATTTAGGTCTTCGGTTCAAAAGGTTTGGCTTTCTGCATCTGTTTCTTTTCTGACATGTGGCAGTGTTGTAGTCGAGACCATCACAAGACCAGACACAAGACCAGCCACAAGTAACAGGGCACCAACAATGACACAGGAATGCCTTTGTTGTAGTTCATTTGAATAGCTTGTGACTTGGACTGAGACTGGAGGTCTTGTGTTGGTCTTGCAGGGTCTCCACTACAACACTGATATGTAGGCAGGAATGCAATTGCTTCATTAAAAATTGATCTCATGCACTATACGCTTCTTGTATAAGCCTATCATTAAAGACCACTTAATGAGAGTAGTTTTGTTATTGAAATTCAGTGCGTGACAATACCCCCCAAAAAAGGTTTCTGCTCTTGCGTAACTTAGTGGAACAAAGACCTGCCTCAGATGTGACGTATTAGGTGCAAGGGGACTTTTGGTTTGACTTTTAACAATCTAGTTACTGTTGCAATAGGCCTTCATTAACTCATGGCTATTCACCAATTGCATGTTCTGTATATTTTCATGGGTGAATAGCATATGCAAACATTCACTCGTTTCCCCGTCCTATCGAATTGAAGGGCACTGGCGTCCACTTATTCCTTGCCCAAATTATTGTGAAGGAAACGCACAAGGTCACAAATCATTAATTTGGGGTAGATGACTTGTGCACATGGTAAATACACGTTATGTTCACACGGAAGTGTTAAACCTGAGTCACTGGTTAAACAAAATCCGTCCAATGAGAACCGAAAGAAGTTACCAACGCCCTTGGTTAAGGCAATGGGAACGAGCAAAGTACAAACATGGCATCCCACACAGTCAACCTTAAAATTAATGAAAGATACTACATCGAACGAGAACCGATTGCATGACAGTTACTACTACGAATACATTTGAATGACTCATGTTATTTAGCTTCCGACCCCGACCTTGCCTTTATGCAACACGTACTTGATCGAAAAGTACATAAGCCTACAGACTACAAGTACAGCTAGCACACCACTGCATGCATCGCGCTAGGGGCCGAATATAGCTTTACGTATTGGAACATAATCCAAATCCACTGAGTACAGCCATTCAGCAACGATATGGCTTCATCAAGAAATGCAACCACCCGCCAGTACGACCACGACAGTTGGGGCTGGGTAATGGTGGCCACAGCGTTCACCTGCCTTTTGGTTCTCTATGGTAACTTGAAGGCGCTGGGTGTCCTCCTCATTCCGATGACCAACGACCTGGCAAGCGACCTGTGGCTGGTCGGATGGGTTGCAGTGTTGTACGATATTATGCATAATTGTGTGGGTAAGTACACACGCATGAATACAGACAGACTTTGCCAACAGTAGCGTGGCCAAGGTTTTAAACTTTCAGCATTGAGAGTAGAATATTTAAAGCAAGGTATTTACTTAAGAAATTGAGAATGTGTCCCATGATTCGAAAAGCAAGTGACTTGTGTTCCATAAATAAAATTAATGCTCTATCTAGATAAGTCTTTCTTTTAACAAGAGTGGAAAAACCAACGGCCTCTAATGACTTTGCTCAGCACGTAGCTCTCGTGTGCGGCGGGCTTAAACGTGAGGAAAATTCCACTGCGGTATGTCTTTGTCATGGGTTTTGCGGTTTACTGCGTTTGTAATAATACACATATACAGACCAACACGGATCCTAGACACCATGATAAACAACTGTTCCGAGCTCAAATACAAAATGCACATCTGTGGACTTGCCTTAATTGGTTAGACGCGTTATAACGGGCATTAATACCCGCTGGCGTGTAATCGCGAATTTTCCAGTTGTGTCATTGTGTTGGGTTTGTGCACGACATCTAAAACGGAAACATTCATAAATCTGTTAGTAAAATTACCTCTTATTTAAGATATAATTGTTCAAAATTATTTTTAAAAATATATACTTCAGGATATAACAGATGACGGTATTGTACAGTTTTTGTCGTTATAGATGAAGTATTTACCCGGGAAATAAACGTCAAATTTCGAGAACACCGTTTACCCAAACTTCGTGCTTTTATTAAAAAGTTTTAGAGAGATAGGATGCCGAACCGATGAAACAAACATCGTCTTCAAGCTAAAGATATTGTGCTCAGCAATACCATGGTTATGTAGTTACCACTTATAAGAATTCAATAATAAAAACGTACACTCATGAATATTCAAAATATAATTCGCTGGCTTGACAGATTTTGAGGCCAAATCGGGCGAAGAGCTAGAGCCATGCAAATCTGAAAGCCACCGCGCGCAGTGGTCTCTGTTGGAAAGTATTCATGGTATTTGCCACCAGTACCGGCCGTTATCATGCGTCTAACCAGGAGTTGGGCCGTGTTGTTAATCCTTGTGGGTAAGATCCGTGGACCAACGAGTCCTCGGACAACGACCTGTGGCTTGTGAAATAATGAATGGATGCATGGGTAAGTACAAGATTCGAAATTTGAACCATGCGTATTTTCTGGCCCGATTGAAGTTAAAATTTAGGTTGCATAATTGTCAATGGGATGCAACGTCATACTTTTTCAGTGCCCATGTTTACACCCACCAAAAACTTCCTCGAACAATCGGGGGATTTCTGCGACCGAACACAAAGGCCGCCCGTCCGTATACTGCAATAGCCATAAAGTGCAGTTTTACCAGGTTTTTTTTTTTGGGGGGGGGGGGTTCGTCTTGGTGCATCCTGGATCAACTTTGTTTTTGGCGCTGTGTAAATGTGTTTTTTTTTTTAATTATCAAAGTTGTTGTGGGGAGGGTAGTACAGAATTCATCTGTCTTCTTTTAAAAAATAAAAGGAAAAAAGTATGCATTCATGTAAATTGAAAAAGAAAATAAAATTTAAATGAATAATGTTTTTTTATGGATTTACGAGTGGACTGAGAGTTTCAGCATGGTTCCCTACGTGTTTGCTGGAGTAACGTTGATGTTTATTCCCTTCCTCGTTACCGAAGCTCCATACATGGATCATTCTAGCATCCCCGGCGGCCCTTCCAAGGCAAAACAATGCAACTCAAAAATGATCATTTTGAGTAAAAAGACTTTGAAGTTCCATCTTTTGTCATTTTTATGCTGTAAATACCGTTGTGGTTTTTTTCACAGATTTGTGCCAGTTATATTTTCTTTAAATTCTGAAATTTTTACACTGTTAAAAGCTCGGTTTCTTATATTTTATAGTATCTATTACCATTTTTATAAAGTTACATGCACTCTTATGCCGTGCGTTATTTGTCATATGTGGTTTACACATTCCAATGCATCTTGTTTTGACAAGAGCACTTTTTCAGAAATTCTACGGCAAAACAATGTCTCTTTGGTTGAGAGGCAGCAAAACTGTCAACTCTTTGATACATTCCACGGCAAAACAATGCATCTTTATTTTAGGGGCAGCAAACATTTTAACTCTATCGGATTCATTCCACGGCAAAACAATGCATCTTTATTTGAAGGGCAGCCAAAATTGTATAGCGCCCTAGCTATGTTGTCAAAATATCACATGGGAAAAGATTTTGTCCTGACCGTCACGAATTTATGACACGAATTCATTCTCACGTCAGAATTTTTTCAGTGCAACAATGCAAAACAAGATGAATGTTGAAATCGACAGAAGGGTTTTCGTGGCAAAACATGGACATTTAAGTTGGTTTGGTTTGAATGCATACATCGTCTAGGGCAAAACAAAGCATCTATAAGATGCATTGTAATGCCACAGAAAAAAAGGCTAGAAATTGTCACAGAAAATGAAACTGAAACAACGCATATTCAGTTACATTCTTTTGCTCTGATTGATGTTAATTTGAAATTAGCAAGAGCAATGTAAATACAACTTAACCTTTTTTACCAAATAACAAACTGCATTTTGGGTAAAACAACTTCATCAAAAAGGGAGCAACATGTAGATCCATTGTTTTGCTGTTGAAAAATACAATACTTTTGGTAAAATACATTGTTCTGCCGTAGAACATTTTGGGAAATGTCGAAAAAATGCCCCAAAATGGCATAAATTAACTTGGAAAATAAATATGATTTCGTGTGACTTTGAAATTCTGCTAAATGAAAACAGCACCTACATATTCCCTTAAAAGGTTATTATCTTAAAAAGTCAAAATTTTGAGATACATGGTTTGCCCCTGTCAGTGCATCTGACATGGACGGTTTTGTTACTTAGCAGGAAATTTAAACTAAGGAACCATTTGAACCCAGTTGATGAAACTGGCAGCTTCCAACTGTGAAGAACCAGAATATAGATGGAAACAGTTATATACCAACTGTTAATTATTTCTTTTTTGGTCAACAGTAGGAAGCAGTTTTTGCCAATTAGGCTACTCATTTGATATTTATTTTATATATATATATATATATATTTTTTTTTTTGCTTTTATTCTTGGTTTTTGCATGGAGCTATGAAAAGAATTTATGGATTTTTTTTTAAAGATTTTACGTAGAAAACCTGCCAACATGATCCAAGACTGCACATCATGTTTGTTGCGGTAGTGGTTCAATAATATGATGGGCCCTACTGATTTACACTGTATGGGAATTCATTTATGTATATCGTGTGTATTGCCTTCACTCTGTCTAGTCGTGTGCAATGTCACTTCATGCCCTTTGACACTCGAGCAATATAGTGGTCAACCCACAGCATATAAATATGACCTTGCCGGGCCGCATACATGTACCAGAAAAACCGTTAGGCCACGCCGCACTAGCATGCAGTTTACTAGCACATCCAAAATTGTTGAAGACGGAGCAGGCACATATGTACACCGCGTTTTCTCCAAGAAAACACTGATTATCTGTATTGTATACAATTCCAAATCCGTGTCCAAATGCATCACACACGTCTGTAAACATACAAGTCAGCTGCAGTCGTTACCGAATGAGAGAGCCTTAAGTTTGGACTTCATCTTTGTGGACGTTTTTGGAGCCTAAGTTGATCTTGCCAATCCTATCATTATGTTGTTGTAGCCTTACTGGTAAGTTTCTACTGAATGTTTTTAAATATGTTATGTCCACGTTTTTTATTTGTAAGTTACAGCATGGATTTCGTCACATTTGTACTCCATTTTGTGTTTGATATTATTTGCTTAATATGCTTAACATTTATGATCTGGCCATGCTGGTGAAAGAATTAAGGCTCATATCCAAGCAATATACCGGTGCATGTACATGTATGGGCCCATAGGGTCCTATATAACACTCGAAGCAGTCACAATTATGAATACGAGTTAGGACTCCTGGTTCTCATACAATGCAAGAAACAACACACCTTTGATCATTTCAGGGACCAGAATAGTATTGGATAAAGTGAAGAAACTGAAATATTGCTGGAATTACAAATTAATTGCGGAACACAATTTCTTCGGCATTGCAGACGTTGATCAGTTTACTTTTTGTTCTGAAAATTTAGCTGATGTTTAAATAATGTTAGGACTGACAATATTAAAAGTCAAAACCCTGACAAATTGGTGGTTTCTGAAAGTGAACAATTGACACACTTATTGACACACTTATTTCAGACCAGAACATCTTTGTTCATGAGTTTGGTTACTTTTCTTACTTTTTAATTTTGTTTTCTGTTTGTTCTCAATGTCAGGGAGCCATAAACACAAGGGAACAGTCGATCGATAGCGTGAAGAGAAGAATTTTGCAACAGAGACGGGCACGACAGTGATGGGAAAAGGCTCAGTAGACACTGCACAGCTAACACATTGATGTTTTAATAACGTGGTATACATGTAATGTCTAATGTTGTTATGACATTTTGCAATAATGTTATGGCGACATGGTCTCAGTAACGTTTTAACGACACCTTCCTGACATTAATGTAAAACGTTTGTGTGATGTTTTCATTACTTTATATTTACATTATGCTTTGACATCAAAATAACGTTCGTACGACTTTCCTGCAAACGTGAGTTGAACATTATAATAACATTATTCGCATATTTTGCAGGAATGTTGTGAAAACACAATAATAACATTACTAAGACCATGTCGCTATAACTTTATTCAATAACATTAAGGCCTTAATTTTAAGATAATGTTACATGCACATTTTTAAGGAATGTTGTGTAAACACAATAATAACATCACCAAGACCATGTCGCTATAACATTATTAAAATAACATCATTAAATAACATTAAGATAATGTTACGCGTACAATTCACCGGTATGTTGTTAAAATATAATAATAATATTTTCAAACCATGTCGTCTTAACATTATTAAGACATGTGTAAACCACATGTTATTACGTTAGTTACGATGGATACTGACGTTTGAACTGTACCACGTGTTTG